GGTGACTCACAGCTCCATTGACTTCATGGAGCAGCTCCTCTCCATTGAGTCCAACAGGAGCCCAGAGGATTTCTCACTGCAGGTGCCTTTTTTGTATGCACCCACATTTCAGTAGGTGACTCCAAGGCTACTGCAGCATGGGGTAGGGCAAGAGGATTATTTCAGGATTCAGACAACATTCCTGCTCATGGATCCCAATCAGGTTGTCATCTTGTTTTTACAAAAGCACAACACTGCTGCCAATGTTTCCAAATCCAGGATGAATCTGGCGGCCCCTCCTGCCAGCCGGCTGCCCAGACAGACCTTCTCCATCTTCTGGTTTGCTTTTCTGAGTTCCTGCCTGCAGGACCTTGCATTTCTCCTTTATCCTCTGTGTCTCTTCATCAGGGACTGGTAGCGATAGGACAAGGGGTGATGGCTTCAAAGTGAAAAAAGGGAAGTTCAGGTTTGAGAGAAGGCAGAAGCTCTTCCCTGTGAGGGTGCTGAGGCGCTGGCACAGGGTGCCCAGAGAAGCTGTGGCTGCCCCATCCCTGGCAGTGCTCAAGGCCAGGTTGGACACAGGGGCTTGGAGCAAGCTGCTCCAGTGGAAGGGGTCCCTGCCCATGGCAAGGGGTTGGAACTGGATGATCTTAGGGTCCTTTCCAACCCAAACCAGTCTGGGATTCTATGATTTTTCAGACCATCTCTCCAGTGGTAGTACCACGTGAATCCAGATCTGCTCTTCCAACATGCTGCTACCCTCTCAGATGGTATCTTCTCCAAATTTCACATTACTCTTTGTTACATCCTACTCATTGATGAATATGTTGAGTTTGTCCCACGACAGACCCCTGTGAAATCCCACTTGATACATCCTTCAGGGGTGAAAAATGTGTCAAACCTGCTACCTACTTTGCAGTAGTTTATATTCCCCTTGATTTTTATGAGAACGCCTTGTGAGAGCGTTCAGAACACTTAACTGACACCCTAGAAGGTATCACAGAGCTGCCTTCCCCGTGTTCATGAGCCCTATCACGTTCAAACAGAAATGAGGTTCATTTAGCACCATCGGTTCTTTCAAATCCATGCCACCTGCTCTTTATCCCTTTCTTTTCTTCTGGATGTTTTCAAACTGTTGTGCTGTTTGTTAGAGGATTTTCCTGGGAATTAAAGATGAGTTGCTTCGTGTTATAGTTCCTTTTACCACCTGTCTTTAAGAAAGACAAGCATCATTCCTTTTTCACATCCTCATCCCATCCCACCTCCAGAGACAGCCCATTGCTGGCGTAGGGTGCTTTCTATTGCTGAGGCACCCTCAGTGAACTCCTCTGGGCCCAGCAACTGAAATAAACACTGAATTCTCTTAACTGCATGTTTTTGACTTTAGGGTAAGAGCCTATCTTTGCTGTTTAGACAAAAGTGAAACCAGGAGCAAGTCTGGCACTCAACCCTGCAGAAACGGGATGGTCTGGGAACCCCGTGTCATCTCAAGGAGCAGCTCTGAAGAGCCGTGAGCTCTGTGTCATTGCATTGGCTCATCTGTGTGCTCATTTCCTGGTGCTGTGTGGGGCACAGTGCCCTGGCAGTGAACTCGAGGTGCTCTGTTCCACTGCCTATCAGAACTTTCTTTAAGCATCTATGTCACAAGGGTATTGCATCATTATTTTGCTTAGTCCTTCTCTGATACCTTAAAATACCTTCCTACTACTTTCTGAAAGTTCCTATTTTCATTTAGACAGAAATAAGAAAATGAGTAATCCAGGTTATTTTTTGGTCTGACACTGTCACGGGTCTTTGATGGCACTGCTTCAGCTCCTTGCCAGGCAGGGTTTTACTGCTGCTCCCAGCAGTGCTGATCAGCAGCACTCTGGTGTCTCTCTGTTCCCCATGGTTCTAGTTCACAAAGGTGGAGGGACTTTTAATTTCACTTTCTAGAGTTATCTGTCTATAGAACTGAGTAGTGTGGTTCTATCAAAACGTGAAGGTGACCAATGGGTTTTATGAACCTGAGGACTTTTCGGCACCTGTAGAGCTGGGTGGCAGGAGGCAAAGGGTTTGTAGGTTCTGTATGGACTGAAACTGGGAGTGCTCTTGCAAGATCCCTCTTGCAGATCTTAACTTTATAAATCTCTCTGTGGATGACACAGAGCAAGAGAGTGAGCTAAATCCATGTCCAGCGTGCCCCAAAATCCCATAGGGAGCTCTGCACAAGGACTTCTGGAGTGCTCGGGGATGGAAAGCAGCATGTTAGGGAGTTCTCCTATTGCTCCTGACAAGATTATGGGGTTGGATTAAGGTACTTCTTGTCAGTTTATTTGGAGGAGGAGGAATAATTTGGAGGTGGTGGAAGGAATCAAAGATTCCTTTTGCAGAATAACTTGTGGTAAGAGCAGCAGCAGGTTGAACGCGTCTCAAGTCTTGGTAGATGAGGACTGGGGAGAGGCTGGGTGAAATTGTGCTTACACAGGGTACAAGCAGTTTTGGCAAGAGTTTTGTCACTTTATCAGGTGGGTGGTCGAACCCCAGAGGAGTTGGAGGTACCGGATTTCCTTTCATTGTGGATTCCTGGCTTTCTCAGTGCAAAGCCATCACAGCAGCACTGACAGAGCACCTGAGCCCACCACAGGAATACGGAGATGATGATTTTGTACTTAAACATTTGTTTCTCTTTTTTCTCTTTCTCTTAAATACACACGGGCACAAACACGCTCTTAGAAGTGGCATGGGGTTATGGTGTAGTGCGGGACATCTACAAGGATTGACATGTCATATGGAAAAGGAAGTATGTCCCTCCCTATGCATACGAAATGTCTTAAGCCTAGGTCTCCTGCTAATGGTAAGTCATGGTTCAAGTAGGTGACAAAGGCTTACCGCAGGTTTGGGTTGGAAGAGACCTTAAAGCTCATCCAATCCCAACTCCCTGCCACGGGCAGGGACAGCTTCCACTAGAGCAGCTTGCTCCAAGCCCCATCCAACCTGGCCTTGAGCACTGCCTGCTGTGGGGTAGTCACAACTATTCTATAGGGGAATCAAAGGTCTGAGGTTCCCTGGCTCTTGGTACAGGGACAGGAGAGTTATGTTGCTGTTATGACCTCTTCTGGGCATGGTAGTCATGACCCTGTTTCCAGTAGGACACACTACACTTTGGAAGGGAGGATTTTGTTGTAGAGGGGAGAGTTTTATGCATATTGAGGAACATATGTACAACCAGCTCTGCTTTGGAGAGACAGGCAGTGTGTTGAAAACGTGGCATAAAGGGATGGCTGTGACAGCAGCTGCCTCCTGTGAAGTGGTTCACTGGTTTTGTTGAAGTTTATCCATGTCTGGGTACTTTGTTGCAGGAAGTCAGTGGTTTTATAGATACCCTGTTTTTTCATGGATGATGCCTAAGTACAAAATTAGTGAAATTTCAGGGAAGCCCAAGGAATTCAGGCTAATGGGTGTTGCATTAGTTTCTGTGGATGATGTCTGTTGGATATCTTCCAGACTGCCTCGGTACCTGCAGCCGTGGCATCTTTCTGTGATCCCCTTCCTTTGGTCTGGAAAACAAAGGGATATTTCTATCCCTTTTGCTAGGAGCTGGATACTGATACGGCAGTCACAGGATTACCTACCCAGAAAGGGGCTGTGATGCCTGCGAGCGCCGCACTGCCATATGAGGGATACAGAAGGTGTGTCCTGTCCCGCTGTGTGTCGGTCGCAGCCCATGGCTGCTAGAAAGCGTGCACACCAACGCGGGATGTCAGCACATCCCCCTCCATGCACATCAGCCGCCTCCCGACCCTGGTGCCGGCGGGATGACGGGGTCCAGCCTCAGGCCCCGCAAGCGACCCCTTCCCCGCAGCAAGGGGAACGGGCTGTGTGCCGGCGGGTGCGTGCCCGCCTGCAGCTCCGGTACCGCATGTTGGAGCCCCTCGTACCGCAGTGTGTGACCCAGCCCGCCCCGTGCCGGCACGGCCTCCTCCGGCCAGCGGCTTTCCCTGCCTCTGGCAGTGTGCTGGGTGCGGTGCGGCACCGGGCAGACCCAGCGCTGGCTGCGCGCACCGTGTCGGGGGCCGGCCCGCGCCATCGCTGCCTCCCCGCCTCTCGCAGCCTTGGCTTGGTGTGTAAAGCTCCATCCCCGCGGAGCAGCGAGGCCCTTGATTAATTCCACGCTGATGTCAGCCATGCGGCTCTGCTGGGAGGGATCTGCAGGGCTGCGCTTCAGCCGCCCTTCGCTGCGAGGATCCCCCTCCCGCCGCCCCCCGGCGCACGCAGGGCTGGGCTGCTGGAAGGGTCGCTGCCGGCCCCGCTGCGCCGCGCTGCGCTGCGCCTCCGTCCGTGCCTCCCGCCCTCCCTCTCCGATGCCGGATTTTCCCTGCTGGTCGCTCTGGCCCGGCCGCGGGAGCAGCGCAGTTAAAGTGGGACAATGCGCCGCGTCCCCCCTCTGCTCCTGACAGCCCGTTCCTTAGCAACGCGGGGGGGGATTTTAAGAGAAGATCAGAGCGCCGGGATGAGGATATAAACTCTGCTGTTCTCCCTCCCGGGGAACTTACCAAAGAGGCGCCTCGCCTGTCGTCAAGCGTCTGATTTCCTTCCGTACAAGAGGCAACGGGAAAGTCTCCGAGAGCTGCTTCCCTGATGGATGGCTGCCCGTCCCCCCCCAGCAGCTCCTCTGCTCCGGCGCTTCACTCTCCAGTTCCACGCTCGGGGCAACAGTTAAAGGGAAGCCCGAAGCGGGATCAGTAAGCTCCCTGCATGCGTATGCAGGTGACTGAGCAGGGGGCCGGTGGGCAGACGGGGGATCCAGGCAGCCGGGGCTTTCCTCCTCCTCCTCCACGCTGAGGGAAAGTAGCTCTCGTCTTTTTGTTCTGACTTTGGGCAAGGGAGGGCGGGAAGCAGACTGAGCCCAGCTCCTTGCTGAGATGAAACGGTCGATGAGAAGAGGTCTCCTTGTCACAGGCACAAAGACCACCTCCGCCTGGCAGCATGGTGCTGAAATCTAACCCTAGCATCATTCTCTTGTGCTCTTTCCTGCCCAGTGACTACATCATTGAGGAGAAGACGGCCGTGCTGCAGAAGAGGGAGCATGAGGGATTCGGGTTTGTATTGCGAGGGGCCAAAGGTAAGGGCTGCTTCTTTCGCTTGGTCCCGGGGCTGGGAGGGAAAGCTGCTTCTGCTCACTTCACCCGGGGCCCCAGACCCCGTGTCCCTGTGTGAGCCCTTGTGCTCTGGGGTCTTGGAAGGACCCTTCCCCGGCAGCAGGCGATGGGAGTGAGCTGGGCTCTGTGGTTGCCTGCATCCTGCAGGAATGCCATTTGTGGCAGATGAGCATCACTCACACTCTGGGGTGTTTCTCGGTGCAGATGCTGTTGTTCGTGGCTTTGCATTTGTAGCTTTCACTTCTGCCTGTTTGTTGGGTGTCTAAAGCGCATCTGCCCTGTATCAGGCATAGGTGTGAGCCCCATGGGGCAGGGCCTGTGCCCTCTGTGGCTTTCTAGTGCTTATAGTATTTGGTGTTGTGATCCTCCTGCTGGGAGCCCTGGCTCTGTTGGCGTTCAGCCCCAGCATGAGGGCAAGCTGAATGATGTCTGTCCTGCATCGTGCCTTCAACCCTGGACTCCTGGGAGCCTCAGCTCATGCCGGGGTACCATCCCCTGAGATCCCTGGAGTGCCTGAGCTCCTGCAGCTGGGACCTTGCACTGGCTTGTTACTGGGGCTCCTCTTGCCAGAAACCAACCTTTCTGCTGCAAAAGAAAGAGAGTCCCTTGGGGACTGGTAATGAATGTGCTTGTATTCACATAGGAAACGGGCTTCAGCCCCTGTGCTTGGGAGGCAAGTCCACCTCAGCTGGAGGCTGGTGAGAGGCAGGGGGGTCTCCGAAATGCAGCTGCTGGCAGCAGAGCTCAGCGGGGCATGTAGGGTGCAAGATGCAGGAGGGGAAGCTCAAACAGTGGCTGCCAGCTCGTTTGGTGGTGCTGATCCTTCTCTGGACCTCAGGGTGCCTGCAGATTGTTGTGATTTGGGCTTTAATGTTGGGTGTGATTGTCTGGGGGGGGTCATGAGCTGCCTTTGTTCTGGGGGTACCGCAGCAGGACTCTGTGTGCCAGTGGGTGCGTTTGCATTCCTGTCAGAATACGGTTGCTGCCTCTTCCTCCCCTGTCTCCCCTTCCCTATGTATGTGACATACGTGTCTGTCCATGTGCTGCTCACATCAGTCTGTGCAACATGAAGTGAAACTTCACAGCTCAAAATGGCATCCATTTTTTTTGCCAGATCAGATTTGCAGTTATTGTGTTAGGGAAAATGGAATAGAATTTTGTCCTGTTTCCTTTTTTCTTTCCTTTTCCTCGTTTGCCCTCCCAGCATCCGCAGGCTCTATAATTCCCTTTGTCTGTGAGGCTGGAGAGGGGACTTGCAGTGGCTCGAGTGGTGGGCGTGAGGCTGTGTGGGACTTGGGTCTGGCTGTGCTGTGCTGTGCTGCAGGGGCTGTGAGCAGCGCAGCTGCAGAGGGTCGTGGCTCGGGAGTGGGCATGGGCTGTCCTGCTGGGATAGAGGCACTGGGGGCTCTGCTGATTCCCCTTGGGGAGCAGCGCACCCATGGCAGGGAGGTGGATGTGGTGGCTCTGCATCACCCCCGTGTTTCCCAGCCTGGTGCTTCGTTCTGCTGTGGAGCTGGGAATGCTCTGTCTTGTTCCTGTCAGGTCTCACCACCACTCATGCTTCATTTAGACACTGTGCAAAATGCTTCCGGCCTCGTGGGGTGAACTGGAGAAGGGGTCTGTAAATGGGAGGGACCAGAGCATCAGCAAAGTCCCTGCAGAGGGAGGGGGCTGCTTGTTAGGTGAGACGCAGCTGGATGATCCCCAAAGGAAACTGCCCTTTGTGCTGCAGAGGATGGTGAAAACCTTGCCTGGCTTCTGCCAGTGTTGCTGAGGGTTGAGTCCTTCCCAAGCCCAGCCCTGGCCGTCCATGTGAGCTGCCCCATCATCTGCACCCAGCAGAGAACACCCACCACCACGCTGGGGAGCCAGTGCTTCCTAACCCATCCCCTCTCCACCTCAGTCAAGTAGTGGGAGGTGATGTCCCAGTCAAACCATCCGAGTGTTTGGATATAGGTTATTTTATCCTAGCCTCAGCAACAGATGAGCTGCAGCTTTTGGACATGAGGCTTGCTGCAGCCATTGCCTATGGGAATCGTGGAGCAGATGGGAGGGATGTAGCAGCCCCTTCATGCAGCACTGTAGTGGGAAGTGATGAGCAGGTGGATTCATTTCTTTGTTTCTTGGCCCCGAGAGGCCATCCTGCCTTTCACATCCACAACTGATAGTCCTGTTCTCAGAATGCTGAAAAATGGTATTTCTTGGCTTGTACTACGCTGAACTCAACCAGTCATCCTTCCATGCCTAGACTAGAGCAACCTCCCTCCTCCTGGCCGAGTACCACAGGTCTGTTTAGTGATATGATTCATACAATGCTCATACATTGCTCCCCAGGGCCACCCTGTAAACAGTGGTTGCAGCAGCTCGTACAGTGACTGCATCTCACGTGGCCACAGCAAATCCCTGCTACCAGTTTCCTGGACAGAGGAATATTGTTCCGAGGCCATTGATGCTCGTTGGTGTCTGGTTGTGGTGGGTGCTGTGGAAATGGTAGGGAGCATGGAGCTCGCGTTGGGAGGATCTCTGCTGTTTGTCAGCTGCTCGCTTCTCAAGCTCCCACTGGTTTTTTGCCACATTTTCTCCACAGGAAGGTTCAAGTTTGATGCTCAGCATCACATGTTGTGTGCAAATACCAGCTAGGGCAAGTGGTATTCATTTACTGAGACCAACCACCTTGGGGGAACCCAGCGAACCAAGCACCAAAGTGCAGAACGTGCTTGGATCTGCAGCAGTTGGTGGATCATCAGAAGGGATTTGGGGTTTGTTTCCTGTGCAGCCCTTGCTGTGAGGACCTTAAGGTCAGCCGTCTGTGCATGCTGAGGTCTGGTGCTGTGCAGTGCCCAGTGCTGGCTCTCTTTCACCTGATGGGTCTCCAGCAGCCGCATCTGCTGCCCTGCAGCCCTGGGGCATGAGGAGGGGTACAGTAAGGGAAGTGCAGCCAAAGCTGAGGGATCTTCCTGTTTTACTGAGGCAGAGGGCAGGTTGTCCTCAAGCCCTGCAGCAAGTTCTGGAACACGATGTTGGTATCATAAAGTCCCATGGAAATGGAAGAGCTCGCTGATAGTTTTCAGAACTTGGGTCTTTTGCAGAGGAGCGTTGTGACACTGTGACCCTCAGGGTGGACAGGAATTGGGATTGGAGGTGTTTAGACAGACTGTGTCAAACACCAACTGTGTCGTCTGGTGGTGGTGGTGTGGTGCTGGCACAGGGTGCCCAGAGAAGCTGTGGCTGCCCCATCCCTGGCAGTGCTCAAGGCCAGGTTGGACACAGGGGCTTGGAGCAAGCTGCTCCAGTGGAAGGGGTCCCTGCCCGTGGCAGGGGTTGGAACTGGTTGAGCTGTAAGGTTTATTCCAACCCAAACCAGGCTGTGATTCTGTGTCTTCATTATGGAGATCTAATGGAAAGCTAGAAACAAGACCCAGAAGAGTCTCCCTATGGAGAATGCTACTTGTGGCACACCTTTAGTACCCTTAGGAATTTAAACATTCCAGAACTGATGTTAACCAACTGCTACTGCACCCCTGTTGGGTGCCTCCAATATGCGCTCTCCATCAGCAAGTGTCATCTGTTGGCCACCAGCTGCAAGCAGGTACCTGCAGCTCCAGCGCTCAGCATCAGAACCGCGGTGTGCATCTGCCTGCCCTGGCGTTAGTGGCTTTAGGTGGGAAGCACCAAGGCAGCTATTGCATTAGCTTGTTTTCCACTCTATAAATGTGTTTCTGGTGAGGTTCCTGGGATCTTGCTGTGGTTTAACCCAGCCAACAGCTCAGCCCCACACAGCCCCTCTGGCGCTGTCCCCTGGTGGGATGGGGAGGGGATTGAAAGGGTACAAGTGAGCAAACCACTGGGTTGAGATAGAGACAGTTTAATAGGTAAAGCAAAAGCTGTGTGTGCACAAGCAAAGGAAAACTGGGAATTCATTCCCAACTTCCCATCACAGGTGGGTGTTCAGACCTCCCAGGGATAGTGGACTCCATCCTGCATAACACCTAATTGGGAAGGCAAACCTCACCACTCCCAATGCCCCCCTTCCTTCTTCTTCCCTCAGTTCATATGCTGAGTGCAATGTCCTATAGCATGGGATGTCCCTTAATTGAGTCAGGGTCACTGTCCCAGCTGTGTCCCCTCCCAAATTCTTGTGCACCCCCAGCTTGCTCACTGGGATGAGGAGCAGAAGAGGCCTTGACTGCACGGAAATACCCCTGTGTAATCAGCACTGCTCCAGCACAAACCCAAACACAGCCCATAGGAACTGCCGTAAAGAAAATATACTCTACCCCAGCCCAAACCAGTACAGATCTCAACAGTTTACTCTGCTTGAATTAACTTGTAATATTTTTCACTGCTAATCTTGGCTAGTAATAAAAGTACGTTGTCCAGGAAAAGCAGTGTTTGCAATGAGTAGAGTAGGGTAGGGTGCAAATAGGAGATGGATAGGATAGGATAGGATAGGATAGGATAGGATAGGATAGGATAGGATAGGATAGGATAGGATAGGATAGGATAGGATAGGACAGGACAGAGCAGAGCAGAATAATAGATTATTTTCAAGAGGGGTTCTCCTCCCCCTCTATTCTGCCTCGGTGAGGCCGCATCTGGAATATTGCATCCAGTTCTGGGCCCCTCAGTTTAAGAAGGACAGGGAACTGCTTGAAAGAGTCCAGCGCAGAGCCACAAAGATGATGGAGTGGAGCATCTCCCTTATGAGGAGAGGCTGAGGGAGCTGGGTCTCTTTAGCTTGGAGAAGAGGAGACTGAGGGGTGACCTCATCAATGGTTACAACTATGTAAAGGGTGAGTGTCAGGATGATGGAGCTGGGGTTTTTTCAGTGATGCCCAGTGCTAGGACAAGGGGCAATGGGTGTAAACTGGAGCACAGAAGGTTCCACGTTAACATCAGGCAGAACTTCTTTACTGTGAGAGTGCCAGAGCACTGGAACAGGTTGTCCAGGGGGGCTGTGGAG